TAAACATAAACATATGCACATGAATCAAAATGAAAATCCCTTTTTTCGATTTCTGATTTTATGTGTGGAATACAGTTGTAGTTCTTCTCTCCGTCTGCCATTCAACTCTTTCCCTTTCAATCAATCTGTCTGTTTCTCTCAGTGTTGTTTGCATTAATTAAAAGGATACCATCATCATTATGTGGTTTATGAAATGGTAATTATAGCATTTATAAGTATCCTGATTCCTGACTGAACCATATTTGAGTTTGAACTGCCAGATTGTCTCCTGCAGCCTCTCCCTTCCTTCATCTACACATTGATCATTGCAACCTGGGGTCAAGAGAGCATTGCTATGGAGCAATACCATCGTTCAATTGAATGCAATACTTGCAGAATATGACATGTAATAGCGTTTGAATTTTTTTTGTATGTGAACCCAGTTAAAGCTCCTGTAGGTAACTTTTGAAAACATGTATTTGTTAAAACTGTCATTATGTCCTGACAGTAGAATAAGAGACTAGAATATGAGATAATCTGTGTAAAAATCAAGCTCCTCTGGCTCCTCCCAGTGGTCCTATTGCCATTTGCAAGAAATACACGCTCCCGGTCAGAAACAACCAATCAGAGCCGAGAGGAGTGTCTTAGCACTGTCAATCACGTTTGTGTACGCGCTGATCACACCCCTCTCTTGCACAGCGCGAGCCGTCGTTCAAACTCAAGATTGCCGGCGTGCTGCAGCTGTGCTTATGACGGAGAAACAACCTAAACTGCCAATTCTCCAGTGACACCTGCTCATAAAACAAAGAGGTAAAAGGAAAAAGACTGATGACGATAAACAAGCGAAAAAGAAAGAATTACACAGAGCCCATTGACTCGGTGTCAAAACTAACATGTAGATAAAATGTCACGCACTCTGCTAAGCAACAATTGAAACCTGCTAATTCACTGGCTTGTCATGTTGCTGAAATAATGTACTAGCACACCTTATCTAGCATTATATATCGCTAGAATAATTACTTACATTACTGTAACGTTAGTTACCGTTATATTAACGTTATCTTACTAGATATTTATAACTTATAGAAAGAGTGCAACGTTATAAAGTTACATTAGGCTATTGGAAAATACATAATGATTTGAGGACCAAGTTTGTAGTCAAAGTATGGGCAGGCCATAGTCAATGTAAAGCATATTGTTGACGTTTAGTCCCTATTAGTGAATGTGCCATATAATATTTTATCCGCTGTTATCGGTGGCCCTGTTTACTAGCCTGCGCGTTCGCGACAGGCTCCGCTGTGGAGGACCAGCTGTGGAGGGAGGGCTGTAGCGCAGCAGAGAGCAAGGGGGTGGGACCTGGAAGTTGTACTTGTTCAAATTTTCAGGCTAAGTCAACGTTTTCACAAAACTCCCTACTGCAGCTTTAAAATAGATCTCTGTCCTGACATTTTCAAACAATAAAAAAGGCTATTTAATGTGTCGCTTAACATAAAAGACTGAGGAATTACAGAGACATTCCTGAGCTCTATAAAGTGAATGCTGGGAGACGAAACAACAGCATCCACTACATGCATGGCACTCTACAATAGCTATACACTACAAATACCAATAAAATGTTCATTTTGACTATCGTCTCATCCTGTCTCACTTGCAATCAAACAACGAATATGTTTCTGAGTTTGACTGATGTTTCTACTCTATCCAACAGTTTAAAATATTAGTCCTTTCTTCCCCATCCTTTTCCAGAGATTGCAGTCAAATGATAATTTACGTTAAGCCTTCTAAAGCCTCCTTATTGAAAACAGTAAACCTGAGGTATAGTAAGTATAGTAACAGACCTATCCTCATAGGGGTAGCTAGCTTCCTCAAAAAGGTTTACTCACCCCCATGACATTTTAAACATGTATTCATTTCTTTCTTCTGAACATTACTGCACAGCACCACCTAGCATCCAACTGGCGGCATTACCGGTATAATCAGTTCGAACACAGATACCACACCACCGCTGAAAAGTACGACATGGTAGCAAGTCTATGAGAGAATGATAATTTTTTGGTGGACTATACCCGTTTCACAATAACATACATGTGGACAACATAACAATAACATACAACATAAAAAGAAAAGAAAGAAAAGAGTGTTGTAGGTATAAAGTGAAGGGGAATAAGCATTGTTGTTGTTGTTTTTTTGTTTTGATTTTCTTCCCCTATTGCAAAGAGGATATTTTTTTAGTATTGATTAATACTTGGATGGACCAGGTGTCCAGGTTGTTTGTTGCCCTGCCTCTCTGTTTTTCTTTGTACTTGCAAAATAAAAAACAATTCTATAAAAAAAAACAATAACATTCATGTGACCAACAACAACTAATGGTATAGAGCTGATTTTTCATATCTGAACAGCAGATGCTGTTTTGACACACATCACAAGTTTATTGGAAAGTTGAATCAATCTAAAATACAGATTTCATTTGAATTTTCAGAAAATTCTGAACAAAATGTCACAAAAGCTTTTTATAAATGGTAGGCTATCCATTTTGACATTGTCATGTTGGTGAATTTTGCACACAATTTGTTAATTTTTAATGAGTGATTTATTGTGTGTGTAATTCTAATTTCTCCCTCCAAAATAATGCGGCATGACTTTATGAGCCAAAGTGTTCATGTTTCAAACAGACTTTTAGAACAATGAAAAACTCATGGCCAGGAGATGATGTCCTTAAAGGGACAGGAATTCAATTAGAAACATTCCTTAACCTGACAATGTCACTAGATTTTATCCTCAAAATATTAAAGTATGAGAGGTCACTTTTTCAGAACACAAAAGAAAAATGGGTGTCAAAGCTTTTTGGTTGGTCACACTGCCAACTATTTCATTACAGTCTGTCTCCGGCAGTACCGAAAACAAAAACAGAGGGCAAAGTACTTGGAAAAGGATAGGCCTAGATATCATGGGGAAATAAAAACAAACACATCTTCTAGTCGGGTGGATTCCAAAAGAAATAGAGAAAGAAAAGAAGCAAGCATCAACCAAAATACAGACAAAATTTGGAGAGTGAGTAATTGAGTCGGTAAATAAGTAATTCAGCACAAAAAATATTCCCAAATTAGCCAAAATAAGTAAAAAACTATCATGTATGGGGAGGTGCATGCATTGTCATTTATTAATTATTTTCATTAATTTATGCATGTTTTTTCAGCTGCCAATAAATGTATAAACTTCATTCAACTAATTTCACTATATTTAAATGTATCCAATTTTCCCCTATCATCAGTGCAGAAAAATGTGAAAAAAAGTTCGCGGATTCTGTGTGTGCAAAGAGTTGAAAACAAATAAACAGCACCCCAGGAGAAACACAGGTCAAACTGACCCTCTATAAATATGAGTATATCTAGACATACACAAGGCATTTCTATTCACATGCTTCACTATGTATGTGTTACAGTTTAATCAGGAGAGGAGCTATGGAGACTGACGCACAGATGTTATTGGTTATATGTGCCCCAAATGTTGTTCACACACATGCGACAAAAAGTGCTGACAAAAAGTTTTCTACTGTTTACTGAAGTAGTGTATTGACATCAAAAGAACTGAGAAAGTGAATCAAACCCTGGAACACTTTAAGGTGCCGATTTATAATTGTTCTTGAAATGATTATTTAAGTCTTGGCTCAGTCTTAAGAAAATCTTGAGCGAAGGACTACTGAGCATTTCAGCTGTTCTCAGTAATGCCATGCATTCTTTTTTATACAGGAAAAAAGCCCACACACTAACATTCACAGACCGTTACTATAGTCACTCAACATGAGCAGCCAAGTGTTGCCAATTTTGTGACATTGTTCAGTGACTTTTCAGAACCCTTTAGTGACTATTTTTCAAAAAAGCGACTAGCGATTGCTGATTAACATGTAGTCAGTCACTATGTCATGCTCGTTCCATTGTCTGACAGAAAATATGTGAACAGCTTTATAAGACATTCAGCTATATTAAAATTACAGTATCTGAGCACAGATTAGGAAAGAAAACAGATGTAAACTGCCGGCAGTTGGTGCATTACGTCATCGTCATCTAGACATTTAGCGACTATTTGAGTAAGCTTTTGCTACTTTCCATTGAAAATAGTTGGCAACACTGGAGCAGCCCCTCAGCAGGTGTCCATGGTAACCTAGACACCCCAGCCCTGCCTACTGAGTGTGAGATATCCAAAGTGACGAATCACACAAGTTCAACGGAGGTCATTCCCCGCCCCTCTCCCTGAACAAGCAATTTGGAAATGTTGTGATGCTGATGTGGAAATATCTCTTTTTCAATTTCATCAGATCATCAGCTCATCATTTTCTAATTTCCCCACAGCAGTTCTCGATATAAACGGCAACATGTGCACATGTGGTCTACTCATAAACCATATTTGTGCTGTGATTTCTTTTATCTTGTTTCTGATCTGTGCTCTCTACTGCCATTTTTAGTTCCTTATGTCCTGTATGATTTAACTGACATAAAAATGTGAATTAGCCTAATTAATGTTGCATCACGGGAGCCAAGGACACCTCAAGCAGTATCATACAAATAAAATATCTAATTATGCAGTGATGATGTGTTTTAACACATCTAATGAGAACTATACGAATAAATCTGAGGCATCTAAAGCACATCTGTTCTGTCAAATAATAAGAATCGAGCTATTCCATGTGACAAGAAGCTTGTATCATGCCAGTAATCAGTCATGTATATTAGACCTGCATCATTGTGCATGATAGTCCTCACAATTTTTCACCTTTAAGCTGTGTTCGCTCTAAATTGTAAAACAAAGTTGACATTCCACAGCTCTCAGAATTACTTCCATAAATCATTATTGCTTCAAACTCAAGAGTCACCACTCTATCATGACGCTTCTCTCTTCCCAAGCCTAAAGCGCTTCATCACTGACCCTATGAACTCCCTCTGTCACTGACCTCAGGGTGTTACAGCACACTATAACGGATCTCAAAGTGTTGAATTGCTGACCCTACAGAGTTCTATCACTGATTTGACTGCAGAATCACTGACCCATAGTTTTCAACCTTTTTGACTCCAAGGCCCACCATTGTCCTCAACAATAATCATAGGCCCCATGACTTTTTCAGTGTTTTATTTACTAAATAAAGATTAAGAAAAAAAAAAAAAAAATTTACTCACAATTTGTGCCTGATCAAAGATTTTAGAGCTTGGCATAAATAGAAAAGTGTATTGTCATTATAAAAATGTAAATGGAGATTTAAGATTTTATTATTTACTTATTAAACAATCTTATTTTAATGATTGTTTTGTCTTATTTAAAATCATTTTTATGATTTTATGCCCTTTTTTGTTAATAAAAAGAACAACAGCTTCGGCATAACAACAGAAAAAATCTCTATTCGAGATCTCTTTTGGACAATGGTGGAAAATGGAGGTTTGAAAGTTGAGAATTGCTGCCCTAGCGTCTATCACTGACCTAAGGTTAACCTTATAGTGTGCTGTATAAATGACAACGCGAAATAACCTTTTCTGAAGCATCCAATGTAGGTCAAAAGGTTGAGAATTACTGCCCTAGAGTAGCGTCTATCACTGACCTTATAGTGCGCTGTATAACTGACTGCGCGAAATAACTTGTCCAGAAGCATCCAGTCTCTCACAGCGCTCTATAACTGATCCTAAATCAGCTCTCTAATACATAGTTATATTACTGACTACGACTAGAGTTCCATCACTGACCCCAGAGCGCTCAATCACTTCTCATGGAGCGCTCCATTAATTCAAAGGAAACATTCAGGCTAGCCTACTTAACTTACCGCTCAAAACTGGTCACCGAAGCGAAGCGGTCAACGACGTTGTCCTAGTCACACATGATCTGACAAATTCCCTTCAATGAGCCTGTTTTTGAACGGAGAATGACTCGAAAAGAGTTTAGTTTTATCAACCTGCTCCTGTGTGATAAGTGAGCATCTGCCAAACTCCCAGCGGACTTTAGCTCCTCAAAACGGTGCAGCCTGCAAAAATCCTCTCATTGACTACGAGCAGAGAAATAAAGTCATATTTCCTTGGTTGTGCGTTTTGCTCTGCTAGGGTGAAAGCACTGTAGTCCAGACTTGTTCAGATGCCTGAAGCTAACTAAATCCATCCCTAGACATTCACTCTTTTCACAGGATCGTCTTTCAGAACTCTGCGCGAGCTGCCCGCCTTCTCACATTACAGCCAATCAAATCATGAGCCAGCTGTGCTCGTGCGTTCTACTCTCGTGCCTGTACCTGCACAGGTAAATTGTTCATAATTAAATGTTATTTTTTCCAGGGGCCGTAACATCACAGCGTCAGATAAAAATAGAATAAACGGGAGACAATTATTATTTTTGTCTTTATTTTCACCATATTAAAAATCGTTCCAGTTATTTCCCACTCTTTAAAGACAAAATTGAGCCAATATGATTCGACAATGTTCGCATGAATCATTCTAATTTTATAAAGCAGAGATTAGTGAACTAAGCAAAGTTTTAAATTAAGATAGCAGGTCAAGGGTAAAAAGTTTACAGGATCACGTTAAGCAATAGCAAAGAGATTGTCAAATTTAGGCGAAAGAAAAACAATGTTACATTTAGGCAAAACTCAATCTGTCATGTAACCACGTTGCTTATTGGTTAAAGACCTATAGGTTTACAGTAAGTATACTCTCTCTATCTCTCTTTCTTTTTTCCTGATCCTGTCTATCTCACACTCTCTCTCTCTCACACACACACACACACACACACACACACACACACACACACACACACACACACACACACTTGTGGCACACCCAAGCATCTGTCCACACTCATCTGGAATCCAAGCCTAGGGGCATCTGTTCTTTTTAAGGCATAATCTTGAGTTGCACTAGTTTCCCCTCACTTTATGAACATTAATAAAAAAAATTGGAGGTGTTCATACTTTTGGGGTTTAATTTGGGAATTTTTGCGCTAAACAAAAGCAAAGAAGTATATTCACAGTCATCACAAATTTTCTCGAAGGCCAGGTTTAGACTTGCACTGGAAACAAATTTGTTTGATAGCAAAGCAAAGGTGGACAATGGGTGACAATGCATTCAAAACAATTATACTTTAAAATAAGCAGTCGCTTATGTTACACTGTTTTGGGGCTTATAGCACAATGTTGTCCGATCTTGAATTAACAATATGCAAAACTGATTTATGATTGCCTTAATAAATGAATGCAGCAAATTGCAATACAGAAATTACAGCAAAGCATTAACATTGTATAACCGAAGCTTAATAATGATATTTTATTGTTATTATAAAATAGTGATTACAATAATTATAGTTATTATTCATAATTTAATTTTTTCATAACCTTCTGGCAAGCCTGGCAGATTCATGCATTAGAGTTTAATGTATTCACGTTTAAAATGTATGCAACGAATATTAGCCAAGTCATGCATTGACTCTTTACTCTAAAAAATTGCTGGGTTGTTTCAACCCAACTTTGGGTCAGATATGGACAAACTCAGCCGTTGGGTAAAAAAAATTTATTACATTTTTAACCCAGCATTTTAGCTGAAATGAAAAGTGGATTCAGGATGTCGCTCTACTATATAGCACACACACACATTTCATACTAGGACAGGAATGGGGAACAGGCTCATTCAGTGTGAGCTGAGATGCTGAAGGATGAGAAAGTGTCACAAACTGCTCTGAGACACAAAGGTTGAGGAGCCAAATGTAGTATTTATTGAACAGGGTAATTCAAAAACGTAATCCAGATAACAGGCAAGGGTCATACACAAACAAACAATCCAAACAATAACAGATCAGGGCTGAGGCAAAGAGAGAAATCCGAGGGAAGAGAACCAGGACACGGGAGAAACAAGAAACAAACACGTTCAGAAATGCAGTGAGACAACATACAAGACTTCGCAGGGAATGAAGGAGTGTACATGGTTTAAATAGGCTGAGACTGTCAAGGTAATCAGGGATGATGAGTCCGGGCAGTGAGTTATGGGAAATGTAGTTTGTGAGGGAATGACAATAGTCTGATGTGGAGTGCCCTCTGGTGGCTCTCAAGGGCACTCCAGCTGGTGATCATTACAGAAAGTGAGTTACAGCATCCCTCTGTACAGTTTAGTTTAGCAGGTGAAGGTGATCATGTGGTGCAGCATGTCTTCAACGTGTTTTACCTGCTTAAACAGCACAGGTACACATGAGCCTCCATACACCTGGTAGTACATTAAGGTCAATGTTTTCTCAGGGCATGCTTGGTCGTTTGCCATGGGGCTGAGTATTTGAGGTTTACTGTCTGAACTGTTACTTACTGTCTTACTAACTTAAAACACTGAAGATGGGATTCTGAGGAGAGATACTGTACATGCAGTTAATCTTTAGTTGTAATGAGATCAAACATGGTGGATTGCACAAGTTGCACTATAGAATCCACCAAGTTTAACATGAATTTTTGAGCTTGCAGTTTTGAATACTCCTGCTCAGTTGTCCACTAAAATCCAAGGAAGCTTGAGGTCTTGTCATCTGTACATCATATGTGCAGAGAGACCATATTTATGCCTCTGATGTAATGCAAAACTCCTTTCCCTCCTCATAGGGCCTCTGTAATCACAACAAACATCCGGGACATCTTGTCTGTAGATCTCGTCTGCTATAGTGTTCTAATTAAACTCAGGAATGAGTCAATGACAGAATAATTTTAGTTGAACTACATCTTCAAATAACTGACTGAATGAAATAGTAGAGAAATGGAAGAAATATCAAATGTTTACTTTATGTGATGATGACGTCCATTCCTTTGACTGAAAAAACAATCACACACACATGGTACACACGCAGCTCACACATGCAACACATAACACACGTGCCTTCATATTTTGTGATGTGGTTATAGGGCAGATGGTGAAATGACGGAGATAAATCACTGAGCATTCCTGTAACTCAGAAGAGATGATGCCCCAGAACTGCTGCCTTTAAATAACTTTACACTGCCAAGGTTAATTGTTTTTACGTTTAATTGCCATGCAATCTTGAATACACAACGCACTTACTCTGAAATACATGGAAAAAGAAACATCCTTGACCCAAACTTTCACACTGATAAATAAACAATAAATATAATAAATAATAAAAAATATATATATATATTATTTAAAAAAAGACAATTAGTGATGTTAAAGATGAACACTTCTGCCCTGCTAATATCCTGCTCATTTATACTTGTCAAGTTGTCGTTTTCCCTCCGGGTATGCAGAGTGTGTCAGAGGCTTAAGATGTTATGTTAGAGTCTTTCTTTTACACTTACACCCACTGCTCCCAGCTATCGGTCTCTCTCCTGGTTTCATCCTCGCATTTAGTTAACAGTTCAATGGGTCACCAGCCTGGCATTCCAGCCTTTTTATACTTACCATGCAGTGCTTCCAAAGATCTTCTGTTAAATCAACTTGGAAGACATTCAAGAATCTCTGAGGAAGCCAATGCAGAGAGATGACATTTGCTGATTGCTTGGATTATCAATCAATCACCACAGCGCTGAAGGTCTTTGCTCCATTTAGAAATTGAGAAACCTTCTAGAAGTGTTAAAAAAAAATGTGTACATACATGCCTCCTATTTTTGGCTCTGTAATTACTTGTCAAGATTGACTTGTATGAGATACTTAAATGTACGTACAAGGCTTACTGAAACATCAATCATACCTTTCTCTTCTCTATAAATACAGGTCCTTCTAAAAAAATTAGCATATTGTGATAAAGTTCATTATTTTCCATAATGTAATGATAAAAATGACACTTTCATATATTTTAGATTCATTGCACACCAACTGAAATATTTCAGGTCTTTTATTGTTTTAATACTGATGATTTTGGCATACAGCTCATGAAAACACAAAATTCCTATCTCAAAAAATTAGCATATCATGAAAAGGGTCTCTAAACGAGCTATTAACCTAATCATCTGAATCAACTAATTAACTCTAAACACCTGCAAAAGATTCCTGAGGCTTTTAAAAACTACCAGCCTGTTTCATTACTCAAAACCGCAATCATGGGTAAGACTGCCGACCTGACTGCTGTCCAGAAGGCCATCATTGACACC